AGTCGTATCACTGTTAATGATGAAAACAACTGATCAAAGAACAAAGAACATTACAATATTTAAAAATTTTGAGAAAAATGAATTAACCGATGAATTTATTACCTCGAAGCTTTCAAAGAACAATTTTCACGAGCTCTCCAAATGTTCATTAACATTGCATCGCAGATTATAATTAATCCCTAAAAGAGTAAAATAATAAACATAATTAGGATTATCTATTTTTACAATCTATACATTTAAATTATTTATATACAACACATCAATTAGCGTTAGCTGATGAAATGTGCGGCGTGAAACCTTTTTTAAAATCGATCTATATTTATGTAAAAAAATTTTTTTTAGTTACGATCTACTAAGTAACACGGCTTAAAATACGTTCATAATTCTTCCATATCTTTTCCTTAGCTCTTTTTTTATTCATATAAGAGTGATAAATTTCTACCAAGATTGCTCACATTCGTTTTAACTGCTATCACTTTAAAACAACTTCATTGGTTAGAAGAAGTAAATAAAATAAAATAAAAAATAAAAATAATATAATGACAAATTCAAGTAGACTTACTTCTATTATTTGTTGTTCTCAATACTTTAAACGACCTAAGGTATATATATATCCGTCTTTTCTAAAATTTACTAATGTTCTTCACTGATTATTTATCTTTTTGTTATCGTTTTTTTAGGATAAGTCGGTAAAAACTGAACAAGATATATTAACAAACCAATCAAACCATTCTCAAACTGACATAACTGAGGTCTCTGAATTAGAACAAAAAAAACTTTACGGTTCATGTAAAACTTGCGGTAGGTCGCTCTCCGACAAAGCTTGGTGTAAAACTTGCGAAGGTCAAAAATTACAAAAAAGTTTCGGCGATTGGACAAGTGGTAATCAGTCTATCGATGAATTTATTAAAAATTCTCAAATTAAACCACATAACAAAGAAAGTTATCTGTTATGGATTCCTTTTGCTAATTTGTCTCATTTAAAATATATGGCCAACGGTGGGTTTTCGGCCGTGTATCATGCTTTGTGGGATAACGTGGAGAATAATTACTTAATAGATGTTGTTTTAAAGAGATTGCACAATGGATGTACTTCTGATCCAACATTTTTAAATGAGCAGGTTAGTCCTTTTTACTTAAAATCTATTCGGATTTTCTACATATGTTTTATTTTTAAATTTTTGATAAAATTCTTAGATTACTATGTATTTAGCTGCTGCTGTGCAAAGATCACCTATGATTCGCTGTTATGGCATGACACAACATCCAACAGAGGGTTATATGCTAGTAATGGAATATGCCGATGAAGGTGATCTACGTAATTATATATCACGACAACATTTAAATTTACTTTGGACTGATAAAGTTTACATTTTTCGAGACA